CGGTTATGGACTGTCTTGCAGAATTTGCCCAGAATAATGTGAATTAAAAAAACTGAATTCTTCAGAATATGTAACTGTTTTAACAGACGAAAAGCGCAGACATCTGCAAACAACAAACGGGCAAGTTATCTATGCCTCAAGTGTTAAAATGACAAGTTTTGAGCCCTGAAACTTTATATGTTACTAATGTAGAAATGCTGTAATGCAACTGGGGTTGGAATTGCTCAGGCAGTGCTAGATGAAATGATTGAAGAGAGGTGTCTCTGCTAAACAAATAATGTCTCTTGGATCAGATGGGGCCTCTGCTATGACAGGGAAAGAGAAAGGTAACTATTGCTATTTATTTTTTGAAGAAAAAACATAGATTTAGCATTAAGTGGTTGGAACAGGTAATGCAAGGTCTTGTTCATTGATATTTTTTTAATTAAAAATGATTGTGCTAATTGTTTAAAGTATTTGCAAAATGTTATAATAAGTGTGGATCAGTGATGTTGAAAAAATATTCTTTTTGTTTCAGGTGCTGCAGCATTTATGAGAAGATCTTATCCTCACATGCATAATGTCCATTGTGTCGCCCACAAGTTGGCTTTGTGTACATCACAAGCAGCAGAAAAAGTTCCAATGATTATGATTAAAAAACATCAACAGATTCTTACAGATCTTTATAATTATTTCAAGGTTTGTATATTCTGTTTTAATTTTATTCTAAAATCTGACACCAGGCTTGAATAAGAGAATTGAATTTCTTTTTAATAAAATCATAATAGTTAATGTTTAAAATTTATATTGGTTAAAAAGGATGAATTGTATTTTAAAATAAATCAAGTTCTGAGTTCTTAGAAATTACATATTTAAAGGGTTATTGCAACTTTTATTGCTAGTCACTATATGTTTGCAATTTTATTTTTACTATTTTTTACAGGGCAGTGGTAAGCGAGAAGCACGGTTGAATAATATACAAGAAGTACTTGTTGATCCAATATTGACAGTTAAAGAAATTCATTCAGTGAGATGGCTGTCGTATTTTAATGCACTGACTGCTGTGTGGCAGACACTTGACAGTATTCTTACATATTTGGCTGAAGCATCCGTCCAGGATCCCAAAGCCTTTGGTCTAAAGAAAAAGGCTTGTCTCTTAACTTTGCTTCATTTTAGCAAATGGTCTTTTCAAAGCTTCCTAACAATAAGGAACAAACTTGAAGGCAGCCATGAACAATTTTATTAAACAGTCAAAAGATTAAAATCTATTTCAATATTAGTAATTTTAATAGTAACTTTTATTAGTAATAGTAACTTTTATTTTCCTTGTTTGATTCGTAAATGAAAAATGCATTTCAAAAAAGTCACACTGATACTTTTTCATTCAGATAGCTACATATTCTTTTATTGGGACGTCTTACATGCTGATTGACTCCATGGCACCATTAACAGTACGGAGTCAGTTTTTTCAAACAGAAAATGTAGATGTTGCCCTTGTGAAGGTAAATAGATTTTTTTTAATTATTTGTGGGATATAGTGCAATAAAGAAAGCCAAACTTTAAACTAATAATTAAATGTTACATTTTTCACTTTGATTTTAAATTCTGAACTGTTTAAGTAATCATTATGATGAAGGAATTGAGAAATGATAAACTATCAACACCGTCAGCTTTCAATGTTAGCATGTTGTTGTATTGCTGAATGAAACAATAAAATCAACTGTTTTTTGTCTAGGTTAAGCTGAACAGTGCATGGAGGAACTGCAAGAAGTCAGAGAAATGAAATCTCCATACCTGCTTAAACTAAAAGAAGACTTTATTAACAACCAGTTTAGGGGGCATGAAGTAGTCACTTCAAACTTTGATCTGGAGAAACAACTCAATTTACAATCTATGTATTTCTTTACTTAATATTATACATCTTGCATGTATAAATTCGCCTCTCTCTCTCTCGTCTCTATCTTTTTTCTATTCCTCTTTAATATACCTGATATTAGAACCAGAAAAATTTGTCTCATTTATTCACAACATTATCTGTTTTGTTAGATCAAATTAAAGCACACAGAAGATATAAATTAAAGGACATAATTCAATCTCGAGAGCAGAAGTTTTAATGAGAGAAGATACAATAAGGTGGCAGAATTTTCTTGACACAATTTGGAAAAGTTGTGATTGATTTAAAGCAATGTAGACAGCAACATTAAATTTAGAACTCCAGACTCGGTTTGATTAAGTCTGGAAAATGGAAAAGTGAAACATCTCAATGAATGAATAAATTAAACTATTTATCCACACTATTTATACATTTTTCTACTGTCCATCTATTTGTTGTTTCAAACAAACTAATCTACTAACATATTCGTTAAGTTCCCCTTTTATTATTATTTACATTCTTAACGTAAATGTGATATGACAAAAAAGATAAAGGAAATGTAGTTCGACATTATTTCCTGCATATCAGACTGGATTATCTTTACTGCTTACACAGTTTTTTTGAAAAACTTTCTTATACTGTCGCATGCTTTAAATGACGTTAGAACCAGTTTTGAATAAATTGGTTCTTTAGACTGACGTTATTTTTACCGTTATGAATAAAATTGTATATAAATAATTATGCTACTATAAGACAAAGTGTTCAATGAAAATTATTGATTTTTTTTCGAAATTTCTTTCCGAACAATTATTTATTTGTAATAGGGAAGAAAAAGAATCAAACACCGGCTCTCGTTACAGACCGGGAATATCAGTTCTCAGATAATATTTAGCGGAAACTCGGCGGAGCCTCGTTACCACCGTAAAACAATTACGAGCTTGGTATTCCGGTCTGTACTGGCAGCCAGTGTAACATCCTTATATTATCAAACCACCGTCTTCAATCTTAAAACTTATTATTTAATAATTGTTAAATCCAATACAATGTAAGTTCCAATTCAATGTAACAAACGAATTCATTCATTTCAATGGTTAATTACAATGTTTACGTTGAAATTTGAATCAGTTTTCTATTGAATTGGAATTAATACTTACAATATGCAATATAAACTAAACATGATCATTTTGCATTTTAAAAAAAGTTTGATATTTAAACAAAATTATCGGCGCGAAAATTTGCATAAGTTCAAATCGACGAAGAGGATTTTCTGATAGAAAGGGATATTTTTTTGAAACACATGAGGTGCTGAAAATGATAATAATAATAATAATAATTATAATAATAATAATAATAATACTTTTTTATTATTATTATTTAATACTGATGATGATGATAATAATAATGAGGATGATAATAATAATAATGATAATTATGATGATGAATAATAATAATAATAGTATAAATAATAATAATAATATTGATGATGATAATATTAATAATGATGATTATAATGATGATAATAATAATAATAACGATGACAATAATAATAACGATGATAATAATAAAAATGATAATAATGATAATAATAATAATAAAATAATAATAATTATAATAATGATGATGATAATAATAATAATAATAGTAAAAATAATAATAATATAAATAATAATAATATAAATAATGATGATAATAATTTATAATAATGATAATAATAATAATAATAATGATAATAATAATGATAATAATAATAATACAAATACACTTTTATCATTTTCTATAATTAGGAACAATAAATGCAATGCAATCTTCAATTTGGTTATAAAATGAAGATTTCATCAATTGATCATTGTGTGTCAAATACTTTCAACTTATTATCATCATTGTCACAACCAACATAAAACTCATTATAGCGTGAACTGTAGAATATGGATTGCAGAATGGTTTTAGCTTTTTCTTTATACATTATCTTCCCTTGCTTCAAGTCTCCGTTGACTTTATGAATTGTTCCATTACCAAGACAGCAGACAAGTAATGACCCGTCATCTAACATCAACACACCTTGTGGTCCACTAACATCTATGTGCTTATATGTAGCTGTAACTTCCCCTTGTAATGATACACTCACTATACTGTTGTTACCACAGTCACTGATATACAAGAGGTTGGAATCCTTTCTCACAGCAATACACGGGATATAGTCAGGTAAAAGAAAGTTCAGAGGGATGTTATTCAGGATATCACCTTGTGTATTCAGTACAATCACACTAGTAGGATACAAACAAGCAACATAAAAACAATCATGATTATAGTCTATACCATTGCATGACCTATCCACTTTAATACTGCGGACACATGATAGCTTGTCGTCTGTTGTCATGACAACTATTTCTTTGATATACGGCATTGTTACAGCGAACCGATCCTGAGACATGACAGCAATATCCCATGGCTTTGAGTCTAGGGCTTTCTCTTCTTGTACACGTCTGTTCTCTATAGATATCAATTTTACCTTATGGTTGTTGTAATCAGCTAGAACTAATTTATTTGTGTTTAGAACTGAACATCCTGTGATATAACATTCCCTCTTATCTGATGAAGTTTTAACATTGATATCTCCTTTCCCAATCAGACGATCAACAGCTTTTGTCACCTTTGTAGATTCATGACGAGAATGATCGACAATCTCACCGAAGACCATTTTCTTACAGAACAATGTTTCGAGTTCAGAATTTCGTTGAAATGAGTAGTGCATATTGGTATGTATTAATGTTTGTTCTGCGTCATTTAATTCATCTGATTTCAGCGTAGATTCAGCCCGTTTCATGCCAATGTAGAGTTGACCGTCTTGATGAGTTGATTTGCTTACATGTAGACTTGATTGCATGCATTTTATGCCGGAAATCATATTTTCACATGTATCAAGGACGTGTTGAATAATTTTGTTGGTGTTGGACTTTACTTCCTCAGCATTATTTAATGCATCTTTTTGCATCAGATCTAGGCAGTCGTTTATTTCTTTTCGGAATTCAGTGATCGCCTTAATGATTTCTTTATTGTAATCATTTATGGTGCTTCTACTGCCTTTAGCCTTCTTCGAAATTTCTGATGCATCTTTTAATTTTTCTCCCAGTTTTTGCATGACGTCATCGAATTCCTTCCCATCTGCGATACCTACGCATTTTTCAGGTATGTAATCAACTTTACATGTTCTATGACCTAAGGCTATGCAGACATTGCACCCGAGTGCATTGTGTGATGGGCAATAAAATTTGATTATTTCTTTTTTATGAACTTGACACTTTTCAGTGCATTCATTTTTTGATTTTCTTGTAGTTTGAATCTTATCAAAATCATAACGCTGCAAAATTTTATGATTTCGTAAGACTTTTGTTTTTCTGTGGACATCGTGGCAAGTTTTACAAAGGTATTCTTGACAAGTAACACAAAACCCGTTAGCTTCTATACGTTGACCTGTAGTAAGACATGGCTCACAACAGTGATCAAAGTCTTCTGCTGATCCTGCTGCTACTGATCCTAGCAGATCTACTTGTCTACGTCCTGATACGGCCATTCCTGGAATACAGAATACAGAATTTTTTATCACTAGCTTCCTGATTACCAAAAAGTATATATCATTCAAATTGACGCATAACGAAAGTAGATTCACCTACGGTCAATTAATCCGTGTGACGTACTGTACCCAGTAAGATGTAAAATTATTTGATTTGTGTCTTATAAAATAATTATACTTAAAAGCGCAATGTAGTAGACTTTTGGTTTAAATTTAAAAGATTGAGACATAATAAGATTGAGACCGCGTATGTCCATCTCCTTCTTTGTTGTTGTTGTTGTTGTTTGTTTGTTTTTCTTATTTACTTTTTTATTTATCAGTATTATTTATATTTTCAACATTATTGAAGTATGTTGTTCGTTTTGTTTAGATATGTTTTGGTAAAGTATATACTAGAATTAATAGAGTCTACTAGTATTTAGAAAAATAAGAATTAACATTTAAAAAGGCTCGGATTAATTTTAATAAATTTTATTTCAATGCCGTAAAAAACAATACAAATCGACATATCCGTGCAGACAATTTTCAAGCACTAGGCCATTTCCATTAAAATACACTACAAAAATAAAGAAAAAGTTAGTCTATAACAATGGCACAGCGGGGATTGAACCACAGTCCTCTCATATGTTGGCAATCACTTAACTGACTATGCCTTGCGGATGTGACGACGGCCTGGTCTGACTTTTTAAAACATTAGTTTTATACCCCATATTAATTCTCGTCAATTATACGGACAAAACCGAAGTGCAATCGAAAATTTAAATGAGTGCTATAATGTTTTCATAATTGAAGGCACTTGATCATTAGAGAACATTAACAAAATCAATTAGGTCAAGAGCAGCGCAACTGTTCAAAGTACTTTATACTTGTGTATTTTTATCTAAAGGTTAATTTGTACATTTCACAAGTAGTATAAAAACTGAAATTAACTATATGGACATTATATCTTAAAAACAAATATTCCTTTCTTCGTATGTAGAAAGGGCAAACATGCATGAAATAATATTCAAAAAATGGCCAAGAGCATGTTAGAAGCTTATTATCAGCAGAGAGTAGCGCCGCTGAATGTGACATTATTTGTCATAAAAGTAGCAAAATTTAAACAAAGAAGTATGTGATATATTTATTTGATTTTGTGATGTTCATTCGACACGAAAGTAGAAAATTTCTTTTGGTGACAGTTTTTATGAAGAAGTTTACGTACATTTCACTGCATATCAATCTATTAGAAATACTTGTGTCAGAGAACTGAAATTCTATCAAATACACTTGTGGGATCTTAAAGTATTTTATCTTTCTGAATGTATATAAATTATGAACAAATATCTTTACAAGATTTGGTCAATTTCAGTTGTCAGTTGTTTAATATATTACAGTTTGGTTTGTCCTAAGAGGGAAATTCTGTACCATACGAGAAGTACGTGTATTCGCACTCGGTCTGTGTCAAAATTTCTATATACATGTACATAGTTTTGTAGATAGTTTTCTATATCACATATGGACCTCATCAGTACGTATAAAGCTCGACTGGAGTTTTGACCAGCAATTCCTTTATTTTCAGCCAATAATGATTTGTTTGAATGTGTTAGTATCGTTCGGCGATAAAACTTTGTGAAACTCGTGTTTTGAACACACCAGAACACATGACGAAACATTATCTCGACGAAGACTTTACAAAAATCCGGTACAAAATTGATAAATATAGAGATAAGTCAAAAGGGTAGAATCACATTTCGATTTTTTTTCCAAAAAAATGCTTTGAAATTTATATAAATGTTTAAGAAATTAAAAACTTACCCTGTAATTGACCTGTTTCCTCCTCCTCATATATTTGTTGTTATATCTGGATCTGCGGAAATTCACATATATCTTTACCAAGTTTTATAAAAGGTTAACACATTCCCGGAGAAGTTAAGTATAAAGTCATAGCATTCCAACTGTTGAGAAATTGTGCTTATTTGTGTAAGGGAAATATCTCCACTGTACTAGAAGCGAGATTCTGACCCAAAGCAGGACGGGATTTCAACAACTTCAAGTGTCTTACGCACACATCCACTTCTCCTAACAATTGTCTTTCAATTATATACTCTTGTTTGGAGTGTCCCTAATATGAAACAATGATTATCATATGATATGATCTTCCTTGTTCTATTTACATTAAAGTGTTTATTCCAATTTATATACATAGCAGTCATGACATGTTAAAATAAAGAGAAATACTTGGAAAACATCTTGACACTGGAAATAAAATAACAATCAAAAGAATACGTGTAATTTTACGTAAGTAAGCCCTGATAGTGTTTTTCAATTGAAAGGACAATATGTCAAGTGTCATTTGAATAGACAATATTATATTTGTCAACTCCTTTTGTCCGTGAAATTTTCTTTCTAGGTATTTAAGATATGATTCATCAAGTTTTTTGTCAGAGGTTCAGGGTTACCAGAGTAAGTTTATCAGCGCATTTTGTACTTTACCTTAACGCTGTAAAAATGAGTAATTTCTACTCATCTCTTTAAACTGCGGAAAAAAAGCATCATTGTGGTGAACAATCTAATTATTTCCGTTCAGTATTGACCAAAACGTCGGCAAGGTTGAGTTTCTGTTTTTTCACTGCACTTTTACTCAATCAGCTCTATCCACCAACCAAATTTATTGTAGATACTTCTTGCAGTTTCACAGTTAAGTGTCGGACAAATTTCAAAGTGTACAAACAAACAAAGGACAATAATTCCAGAATTAGGTAAGGCAGAGTTATGGTTCTTTTGCACTGCACTTCAATTTAATGAGATTTATTTATCTGCAAAATGTCATAACGATAGATATCTCTTACAGTTTTAGTGTTATATCCCGAACAAAGTTACCTTCAATGTCATTAAAGAGTTTGTCATTGAGTTTGATAAACATGAATGTTTAGTCCTTAATAATGTTCTGTTATAATATGAAGTCGATCCATTCAATAATAGCAAAGTTACAGCCAGTTACAGCCCAAAAAATGAAAATTTCAATAATTTGACCTTCAAAGTCAAGGTCATTTATGAGTGAAGGTCAAGGTCTGTCTGGTTATTTTTAAGGGTTATCCTTGCAGATCATTATGTTCAAGTTTGAAGACAATCCATTCAAAAATAACAAAGTTACAGCCAATAATTGCAAGAACAAGCAAAATTTGGACTTTCTTCTATGCATATTTAATAACTGTAAACATATGTGTTGGTGTTTTGAGACCCGTTTTGTGTGGGAGAGTAGCTTTGAAGTCTATTTTCGCAGCTATCATCAAAGCATGTGTTTAGAAAAAAACAATGAACAGCTTCAGTCGCTCCTCTGCCGTTCATTTTGAGTTTTTTTAAATCCTATAATTTTTTTCCCTATTACTGTCTATAACCCAAGGTTAGGGCTCACCCTATAAAAATTTCGAGATTTTTATAATACAAGATAAATAGGTCTGTAGTAGATAATTGAGTAGCTGTTTTTTTTTTTGTTGCTGTTTTTTTTTTTTTTTTTTTTTTTTTTGTTATTTTTAAATGCTTTTCTTTTTATACAGCTCATCACTTTGTCTTGGTCGTATTGCTACATTCATGTAAACCAGTTCACCAAATTTTACTATATATAAACATTCTAACTTATTTACAGTAATTCAATTTTATCAGTGCTTTTTCCGAGATCATTGATTCCACTCCTTTCTATTATCTGAAATGAATACATCTATGAACAAAGAAATAATGGTTATATCTTTTGTAAGACCTAGAAACAAATAGGTTAACTTATCAGTATGTATGTCACAGTATCATTGCTCACTCGTAAATATATGAACAGAAAACGGTGTTGTTTCTCAAGATTTATTAAAAAATGATACTGTTTACAAACTGTATATATACGACCCAGCATGCTTACAGATATATGCAATACATCAAATAAGTCCGTTAGTTCAGAGAATAAATTCTAATTATACAATCACACTATAGTCAGGGTTCCCTCAATAGGCTCATCATGCGCAGAACACACAAATGAAATATTTATCTTTTGATTAAGCATAAACTAAGATAATAATTATAACAAAAAAACAGGATGGTAGGTCTGGAAATAATTATATGTAGACATAAACGTTTAAGAAAAAAGTTAAGATATCACTATCGTTATGAAAGTACCATTTAAAGAACAACTTATCAGTTTGAATAAATAATAGTCGATAAAAATAGAAATATAACAAGACAATCTGCGATATACGAGAAGTTTGTTTGTTTTTGGATATTTTTCACATCTAATGTCAAAATTTCGGAAATTTGATAGGCATGATAATGAAAAAGCTTCAAAATATATGAAGTACACATAAACATAGTACAATAAAATATTCAGTATTAAAAGTTGTTTTTATATATGAATAATAACTGATGATAACTTATTGATTGTACAAACTAGGAAGTAAGACAGGGTTACATTTTTATTACGCAAATGTTACAGATAGTAGAATGCCGTACACAGATGTAAAACGAAATATAAAGGATGACTGTATTGCCGATCATATGTAAGAGTTTTGTAAAATAAACATAAGGGCACAGTTTATGTTCACTGACCGTTTGTATAATATGACACGTGTGGCAAATCATAGTGAAAACATGAATGACATATTCACGACCACTCCCTGGTTCAGAACTGTTCACTATCCAGTATAGGGGAATAAATATGTAAGCGGCCGGATAGCTCTGTCGGTAGAGCCGCGGTACAGTATGCCAAGGGTTCCGGGTTCGAGTCCTGATCAGGCTGCAATTTTTTCTCACCCTGTGACATTTTGCTCCTGACGGGGGACCGTGACTGGATTTAGCTCAGAGTTTAATGTACATTTAATGTACATTGGTCTGTAACTCTTTGAAATTCGTGGACGAATTTCAGTATAGAAGGGGAGTATGTCATGGTTCAGAACTGTTCACTTATTAGGGGAGAAGATGTGTAAGCGGCCTGACAGCTCAGTCGGTAGTGCAACAAAATGGTATTCCGAGTTCCGGGTTTGAATCCTAGACAAGCTGCACATATTTCTCACCCTGTGACACACTTCAACATTTCATTTGATAACATGACACACGTTCCTTATAAAAATATCAATTAATAAAGTATAAAAGTTTTATAAAACTTCACATTTTTAACGTTATTTTTCTTTGAAAATTCGTGACCTTTGTATATTTAATCTACATATACGGCAGTTGTCAATGTTTTGAAGAAAATAAAGGAAGTTTGTCATTCATGTATTATAAATTAGAAATAAAGATTATTGCCTTACCGGCTGTATTTCCAATATAACCGGCTCGGGAAATGAATGCAAACAATAGAAGAGCGTAAGAATTTGCCAAACAAAATCTTTATATCTAAAAGGATATCTCATTAAATATCTAGCCAATTCCTAATATGAAACATAATCATTCAGTGAAGCTTTTATTTGTTTTATTTGTAATAAGGATGATCATTTTGCATTTTAAAAAGTTTGATATTAAAACAAAATTATCGGCGACAATTTGCATAGTTTCAAATCGACGAAAAGGATTTTTGATACAAAGTGATATTTTTGAAACACATGAGGTGCTGAAAATAATAATAATAATAATAATAATAATAATAATAATAATAATAATATAAATAATAATAAAAATAATAATAATAATAATAATAATAATAATAATAATAATATATTAATAATAATAATGATGATGATAATAATAATAATAATAATAATAATAAATAATAATGATGATGATGATGATGCTGCTGCTGCTGATGATGATGATGAGAATGATGATAATAATAATAATGATAATAATAATAATAATAATAATAATAATAATAATAATAATACAAAATATACTTTTATCATTTTCTATAATTAAGAACAATTTATGCAATGCATTCTTCAATTTGGTTATCAAATTAAAATTTCATCAATTGATCATTGTGTGTCAAATACTTTCAACTTGTTATCATCAAAGCAACCAACATAAACCTCATTATAGCGTGAACTGTAGCATAATGATTGCAGAAGGGTTTTATCTTGATGAATTATCTTCCCTTTCTTCAAGTCCCCGTTGACTCTATGAATTGTTTCATTACTTAAACAGCAGACAAGTAATGACCCATCATCTAACATCAACACTCCTTGTGGTCTACTAAGATCTGTATGCTTATATGTAGCTGTAACTTTCCCTTGTAATGATACACTCGCTATACTGTTGTTACCATAGTCACTGATAAACAGAAGTTTTGAATCTTTACTCACAGCAATATACGGGATAAATTCAGATGTAAGAAAGTTCAGAGTGATTTTATTGAGGATATCACCTTGTGTATTCAGTACAATCACACCAGGAGGAGACGAACAAGCAACATAAAGACAATCTTGATTAAAGTCTATACCATAACATTTCCTATTCACTTTAATACTGCGGTCACATGATAGCTTATCGTGTGTTGTCATGACAATTATTTTATTTATATGCGGCATTGTTACTGCGAACTGATCCTGAGACATTACAGCAATATCGCATGGCGCTGAGTCTAGAGTTTTCTCTTCTACAAGTCTTTTCTCTCTATATATCAATTTTACCTTATTGTTGTTGTTATCAGCTAGAACTAGTTTATTAGTGTTGAGTACTGCACATCCTGTGATATAACATTCCATCTTATCTGATGACGTTTTAACATTGATATCACCTTTTCCAATCAGACGATCAACAGTCGTTGTCACTTTTGTAGATTCATGACAAGAATGATCGACAATCTCACCGAAGTTCATTTTCTTACAGAACAATGTTTCGAGTTCAGCATTCCGTTGAAATGAGTAGTGCATATTGGTATGCATTAATTTTTGTTCTGCTTCATTTAATTCATCTGATTTCAGTATAGATTCTGCCCGCTTCATGTCAATGTACAGTTGACTGTCTACATGATTTGATTTGCTTGCATGTAGACTTGATTGCAAGCATTTTATACAGGAAATCGTATTTTCACATTTATCAAGGACATGCTGAATAATTTTGTTGTTGTTGGCCTTAATTTCCTCGGCATTATTTAAAGCATCTTTTTGCATCA